TTGATTTTTCCTGAAACAAGAGAATTAACCACATCAATCAATTTATCGATTTTACTTTCTAAAGAAAATGTACTTATCTTGTGAACCCGTCGAGTGGGTTCACTAGAAGGGCAAAACTATTGAGAATTGACAGTCATTGTAGAAAACAAATGTGTTCATAGGAACTCATCCACTAGCAGCATCAACCATCTTCATTTCCAAAGAAAGTAATCCTTCGTAGAAGTATTTGAGAAGAGTTTGTTCAGTTAATCCGTGTTGCGAACAGCTTGCGTAAAGTTTCTTAAAATGTTCCCAATAGTCATAAAGTGACTCTCTATCTTTTTGTCAGATTCTAAGGATGTTTATTCTTAATTCACTCGCCCTTGTCGTAGGGAAAAACTTGTTAAGAAAAAGATGAGTCATGTAAGCCCATGTTGTAATAGAATTGGGAGGTAAGTAAAATAACCATTCTTTAGCTAAATCGACTAAAGAAAAAAAGAAAAACTTAAAGTTTAATCTGATCCTCATATACTCCTTGTGATTTCATGCTTGAGCAAATCATATAAAATTGTGTGAGATGCTTATGTGGATTTTCACTGGGCAATCCATAGAATGTAGGAAGAAGGTAGATAATTCATGTTTTAAGCTGAAATAGAGTTTCTCCATGAGAAAAAATGATGTATAATGGTTGTTGAACGGCATGGGCCGCAACTAGTTCCTGAATTGTTTGATCCCCATCGAATTTTGTTCTTCTGGAACAAAATATGTATCGACATGGGAGATGGTGTGATGTATCGGTTATGACTGTTGTTCTTGTTTTTGTTTTCATTGTTTACTCTTTTGTCGAAGCATTTGTCTGTGAATTATACGAGATAATGCTTCGATCTCTGGGTCACAATCTACTAGCTCTCTCGGGTTTTGTTTGATCATAAATCGAAACAAATTATAATCAATACTTTTTCGAAGTCTCCAAAAATGAAGCCAATTTGAAAAGCATGTCATATTGTCAAATAAATAGTCCTTAATCTCAAAATAAATAATTAAAAATGAATGTAGAAAAGAGAAGAATGATTAATACATAAGGACAAAGGACCATCTAATGTTGAGAGGTTTTGATTCGGATTTTGGTAAAAAAGTAAAGGAAATGGGGGAGTTTTAATTGAAAGAATGAAGTAAACACAAAAGTGATTGTGGAAAAAAAAATTAAATCTAGAATTAGAGAAGAAAATCAATTGAGTAAAATAGTCTCAAACTTCGCTTTGCCTCAATTCATTTCGATCATTAAAAGAGATTTACTTCAGGATTCATGTCAGTTACAATCTACAAGGCCCAACTCTTACTTTTGTCTCCAGTAAACCGATATTTCCAAGTCAATCTTTGAAATTCAGTCCTTGTTTGGACTAACTAAGATAATCGCAATTACACCAAATCAGTTTAAAGTGCTGGAAAAGCCCGACTCGAATTATGTTATCTCAGTGATAATCGAATTCGATCTTAATTTCCCTTAACGATCGCCGCTAAATGTGTTCATAGGAAGTCGAATTTGATGTAAGTGATCATTTCTCCCAACTTTAAATCATATCAACATCCAAACCAATGAGTTCTTTCTAAAATGAAAGCGTTAAGAATTTTAAAGAAAATGCTGATTATCAATCCAAGTTTGTAGAAAATTGAGAATGATGTCCAAAGATATTAAGTGTTTTTTAATTCTCATGAAACGATTGAGTTATCACTAAGTCTTCGACTAATTGAGAAAATTAGCTAAGCATAACAAAATTCATACTTAGTGGATATTTATAACTTTCTAAAACACTAAAGAAAATAGAATAAAATAGCTCAGGATCAAATCTAAAAACATTCAAATAATAAAATACTAAATAATAAAGCAAGAATCCACAAATATTCATTTCAAATCCAAATACACCCTAAGAAATTTTCGTTCGTCCATCCTTCTAGAGAATGTTGACTGGATCGCCTTTTGGAAGTTGTTGTTGAATGGACCGTCAAAATCTGTCACGTCGGACATCGTCATGCCCATGAGTCTAGCCTTGATTCCAAAAAATAAACTGTAGAACTTGTTCTTTTAATGTTGTTTACCGAAAAATAAAGTCATGCACAAAATCAAATAAAAAAAATCTAAACAGTTATAATATATGCTTTTAAATAAATAAATTTTAAAATTTTAAAATCACTCACCAATATATATTTTGTGTTTATAATATATGTTTTTAAATAAATAAATTTTAAAATTTATTAATTGTGTGCTACATTCAATAATTTATAATAAATTATAAACTAATGTGATCGTTAATTTTAATATTTGGACTACTAATTTCAAATGTGTATACCAATTTAAAATTTATTTGGATATAACAATTTTCGGTAACTGTGATTTGTAGTGTATTAATTAAAAATTTCAGAAGCACAAATCAACAGCTTTATATTTTTCAAAAAATTATATTTTTATTTAAAATTTTAAAAATTTCTTTTAATCAAAACATATAGATTTTTTTGTTATTATTTAAATATTAAATTGTTAACTTCATTTAAAAAAATTGTGTCTTAACGAGTGTATAACATATGATTTAATTATTATTTTTTATTTATATAAATCTTAAATTCTGAAATTTTAAAAAAATATATTAAAACTTTTAAAATATATTTTCTTATCTCATTTGTTGCAATCAGATCAACCACTACAACTCATTCCTTCCGTTATCGAATTTTATTATTGATTCTTCCACTTTTCCATCATCGTAAATCTATAAATAAAAAAACAAATGAGAACGATAAAAAGATGAGATGTGCCATGAACTAAACTTTACAACTCTTACAACGAGATGACGACATAGTGATGTTTGACGACAATAGATGGAACAGGAGGAAAAGAATTAGATATTTGAAGAAATTTTAATGATATTTTTGAGAAATTAGATATTTTAAGGGTTTTTTTTTAAAAAAATTGAGATATTTAAGAGTTTCATGTTGAGAAAAAACTAATAAAAATTATACTTGTTAAACAATAAATGGATGAAGAATCTTTTTTGATGAACATTAATGATTCAGTGGACATGTCATCATACTATTCCAACAATGGGAGGTGGTGACTGTTGATAAGAATATTTAAGCAATCTTGATGCCTTTGCCTGCAACTTTTTAAAATCACATCAGCTGATGCAAAAGGCAGGACCGGCGAGTAGGAGCGGAGCTCCCTTAGGGCTAAAGGGGCCTCGGCCAAGAAAAAATAGTTTATATTCGATAAATTTTGATCTATAGTATTTTGGTTAATGTAAAACTAAGTATTTAAATTAAGAAATATAAGAATTTATTAGATATTTAATCAAATAGGAGACGAACTAAAGAATGATAATCTAATGCCAACAACCGGTTGGTCTAGCTGGATGAGACGTTAGATCCCTAAACCAAGGTTAAAGGTTCGAATCTTGACGATTGCGAATAGAGCAAACTGGGTTGGGAGAGTAGTCCTCACCTCTGCAGTACCTGATCCGAATTAGTCGACCAAAAGATTAAAAATCAGTTGTTATACAAAAAAAAAGTAATGATAATTCAATGTTCTCAATTTTTTGTTTAATAACAATTTAAGTCATTATAAATTTAATTATTAGACAAATTAGACATTATTTTCTGAATTGTAAGTTTAAATACCTAGCAAGACATTGTATTTTTCTTAAAAATTTAATATTTGGGCCCTTATCTATATCTAATCATGGATCCGCTCTTGCTGGAGAGAATATTTTGCCTTCCAGCCAGAAAGCCGATCATGGACCTTTTGCAAAATATAATGATAAGTCTCCTTTGTTACTCGACTGTGCAGCAAAAGTACTCCTAGATACTTACCTAGGTTATCCACGCAAGTGTACTCGAAACCTTTACTAACGTTGCTCCGAACATGCGCAGATATATTCTTAGAAAAGCAGATGGTGCCCGACAGAATACTAATGGTTTTGCCGTATGTGGGGGTGCTATCCGGGACCATGAAGGGCGATGGGTTAGTGGCTTTGCTCGTTTCATTGGCAAATGTTCAAAACTCTAGATGCGGAGCTTTAGGGAATCTTTGAAGGTCTCTCTCTTGCGTGGAGATTGTATTTGACCTCGTTTATCGTTGAATCGGGATGACAAGAAAATAAGTGGATACCACACCTAGTTCCCCTCCTAATCATCAAAATGAGACCCATTGAATTACCATATTTTCCAATGTTTGAAATAAAAAAAAATAATGTTTAAAAATATTTTTTAATTATTAAACTTAAAAATATTTTCAAGAGTAAACCCCTTATATTGTATCTACGAACATCGATCATTACACACATAATGTAAGACAAAAATAGTCAATATCACAATTTACTATAAATACCACAGTTTATTATAAAAATCAAGAATATTTATTATGTTTTCGAGTGTTTGAAAAAAAAATAATGTTTGAAAATATTTTTTTAATTATTAAACTTAAAAATATTTTAAAAAATGGACTCCTCCAAACCGGGGTCCTAGACGGTTGCCCCCGTGGCCTATGCTCAGGGCCGGCCTGGAAGCTTTGGCCGAGATTAGTGCTAAACCGGGGAAGAGGTATGCATCCTCGATGTCTACTCACGTTACTGGTTTCATGTAGAGATGTTGGTGGGTAATTTTTACTTTCGCTCCTAGAGAGAGAAACAGATTAGCGGATGGCATGGCTCACTTAGCTTTTGATTTTATTTTTAAAAAAATACTAGTTCTTTTAACACAACGGAGATACTCATTTCTCACGCTTAGTCGACTCTCTAACCTTAATTTATATCCGATTTAAATGTGTGTCTTAAAAAAATTCAAAGAGAAATTTCAAAAACTTTTTTGAAATGATTTTTTGAATAATCAACCATATCTAATCTGAAACTACCCATATTTTTCAAACCTAAAAACAATTTAGACACACATACTGGGCTTAAACCCATTTAGTTTGTTTGGTTTAGGGTTACCCTGCTAACATACCAATTATAAAAGGATAACAAGTGGGAAAGAAATATTACAAGATACAGTTCCTCCAAATTTGCACTATATAACTTGTTTTGAGGCAATAATTACACAACAAACAAGTTAGAAAAAGGATGAAATGACCGAATGGCAAATATCAGCCAGCCAAGATCAGTACACTTCAACGTTCCATTGTTCTGCTTTCTTCAAATCTCTCTTGTATTCAACCCAGTCAATACCTGAAACAAGTAAAAGTTAGAAGCTGGAATCATATTTTAGTGCAAATGTTGAAGTAAATTACCATCTCTGGCAGCCAAAGAAGTCATGATATCATCGATTCCCTTTTCCATTCCCTTGAGCCCGCACATGTAGACATAGGTGTTGTCTTTTTTGAGCAATTCCCAAAGCTCTTCAGCGTATTGGGCCATTCGTGTTTGGATATACATCTTCTCTCCCTTTTCATTTGTTTGTTCCCTGCTTATGGCATAATCCACCCTGAAGTTGTTTGGTGCCTTTTCCTTCATCTTCTCAAACTCCTGGGTTCAAACTATCATTTTTAAGCCAATATATTCCAGTACCAAGACAAAGAATCTGGTAAAATGTTAAGAGAGCTTGCCTCTGGGTAGAGTAGTGAGCTACTGGTGGGAACACCCAAGAAGAGCCAAGCCAATCCATTGTACTGCATTTCATGCCACAGGTCAAGTACTTTCCATAACTGACTAATCTTTTTCGAAACATTTCGATCTCTGACCTACCTTGTAGTCGTCGTGCTTTTCAAAGAACATCTTCCATAAGAATGAACGGAAAGGCGCAATTCCAGTTCCAGTTGCAAGCTGCCACAAGGAAACCAGACATAACTGTGTTACTAAATGCACATGCAAATGGAACCTAACATGTCTTTTGCTATATATGATAATCTTGAAAGAGTTGATATAATGTAGGTGATACCATTATGATGGTGGCATTTGGATCTTTTGGCATAAGCATCTCTTTCCCAACAGGTCCCGTGATCTTCACATCAGCACCAGGCTTCAAATCACCTGAATGAGACAATTACAACTCATAAATGATGTAAAAACACTTCCCCAATGCTTTCATTAAAAAATGGCAATGTCTACCGCTGTTGCATATGTTAAATTAATGCTGATTTTTTCCCCAAGGCTGCATAAGCATCAATAACAGAGGTATCAACAAGAAATTTGGAAAGATTACAATTATCTGTCATGCCTTAGCTTTGAATCAGTAAATGATTTTTTATGGTTTGAGGAGACAAATTGTTCATGTGCTAAGAAGCCAATATGCTGCATATTAAACAATCAACAGTTGATGAAGATTATTAATCAGATTTCTATCCTTGGTGGTCTCTTGTATATTTGTTCAAGATTGATCCAAGTGAGGGTTTTCTTGAAACCTCTACTTATGTATATATAGGAAACTGAAAAAGAATGAACTTTAAAATTCTTACACAAGAAATTTGAGCAAACTCCTTTCACTATCTCTCCTTGTTCGTTGGTATATACAAGCCTTTTGACACACAAGGAGACCTGCAATTACAATCACATCAGGATCAGATTAGATATCAGTCTGAATAAATAAATTTAAACCTTAAAAAGTACATAACATTATGTCCTTATCTGAAGGAATAAGATCCTTACGGTTTGAGAATTGCCAAAGTCTCCCAAAGCACTGCTAGCAATAGAGTACAATCGAAGTTTGTGGGGTTTCCCGTTCTTGTCAAGACCGTCAGCAAGGACACCGATGGACTGTCCTTCTCTGTACGGTACTTCCCCTGTGTCATCCAACTTCAAAAGATTAAAAAATGCATGTGCCAAGTCTTCAAATGTTTAAAACAAGCTTCTAAATCGTCGAAAGTTCACACCTTCAGTACTGAAAACCATGTGCCAAGTTTCTCCAGGAGCATCATCTCCGGTGATTTTAGTGTTTAGGAGGCACTTTCCGACGTAGGGTTCCTTTGGCTTGAACTTGTTAACAACGATACCTTCATCATCTTTCTTGGAAATCTTTTCTGCTTTTGCAGGAGCTTCTGTAGTGACCTGAGCTCTAATGGAAATCACATTTCCACCAACAGTGACATTCTTTGGGTACAAAATACTCTGGAGACGAAACTAAGATTTATGAGTATCAGAGTAAGTGAGTCAATGCAAAAATGCTTTCGTCTTAAAGAAATCATACCTTGTTGAAGTTGAGTCTTTCAGGGATAGTGATTGAGTTTTTAAATGAAAGAGAAGATGACTTGGAAGATGGGAGAGATACAGCTGCATTTACAGTCATTGCCATTGTTTACTAGCACCGAAAAGGAAAAAAACGAACAAGATGAAAGACACGAAAACAAGAGAGATAAAAGAGTCTGGGAGAGGATTACAGATTGGTTGGATGAGAGAGGTGGAGAAATTCAGTGGCAGTTTAGTGTCTATGGCTGGAAAGGATTGTCGTTTAGATTCTTGGGAGATGGATTTGTGGTCAAAGAGGCCTTAATCGTTAATGGGAAACTCCAAAAATTTATTATTGATACCAAATGCGAACCACTCAATTTTTGAAGCCCATTAGCTTTTAGGTTAGATATTTATGAAGCCCATTTTGAATTATATGGACTTATCCTTAACTACTATTTAGTAGAGGTAAATAAAATTCGACTCGACTTAAAAAACTAGTTTTTGTTTTAATTCGAATAAACTCAAAAAGATTTGAATCAAATTCATTTTGAATTGGAATTTCATAAACTTGACACGACTCAAAAAAATTTTAAATTCAAGTCGCGTTATAAAATATAACTCAAATTTTTTACTAATTAGTAGATTAATTTTTAAGTTTTAGTCAAATCCCTTGACTCAGTATGATATATGTATATCATATATGAAAAAATATGGACAAATGTATTTGTATTGTATATGGTTATAAAAAAATATTTAAATTAGAATCAAATAGTACCATAATATTATAATATTTATAATTAAACTTAAATATAAACTGAAACAAATTGAGTCAAATCAATTTTTTTTAAATTTAATCCGGGTTAAAAATATTTCAAATCAAGTTTGAATTATAAAATAAAACATCATTTTAAATAACTAAAATTTTTTGATTTAACTCAACTCGATCGAACATTCACTCCATCACTTTTAGTTTAAGTAAGCTATGATTCACTTGTCTAAATTCTAAATCCAAGGTATAAGTTAAATTTTACAATTAAAGCGATTTTTAAAAAAATACTCTTCTCATCATTATTTATCCCCCATTATCTTATAAGTTTATTATGGGTAAATTATACCTACAACCACTTAACTATTATCATTTTTCATTTTTTTATCACATGTCTTTTAATTTTATTAATTAGACTATTTAATTTTTGAAGTGTTGCTAATCATGCCACTTACGATTTGCATTTAATGAAAAGGTGACCCGAATATTAAAAAATTAGTAATATTAATATTTAAATATTCTATCAATTAAATTTTAATTTTAATTAAATTAAATATATTTAATCTCCAATTAGATTGTGATACATGTCACTACTGTTTTCTATGATTTGGGGATAGAATATTTTAAATCAACGTATTATAATCTTCTATTAACATTTGTTTACCGTAACTTCAAAAAGCATTTTTGTAGAGGCAAGCCTAACCGATTCAAAAGTAGTTAAGTAGTTAACTATTTCATATGATAATAAACCTTTCTTGTATCAAGCCAAGGAAATAGGACCAAATGCATTTTTTGCAATTTATTACTGACTATAAACACACTAAAAAAATAGCACAAGATCATATATACAATAATAGAATGGGAAGAGTTAGCAGACACATGAAAAATCATAAGAAATAGACAAAAGGCTAGGGTGAAAGTTTGTGAATTTCACTCTCAAGTTGCTAGATCTAAACCATCCATGACATCCAGTCTATTCGTTTGTGCATGCTTCAGTAAATTTCTTGCCCTAAAACTCCCATCAGGAGAGTTGCCAGTACTCCTACTTAGAGCCCAAACTTTGATCCTTTTGCTACTCCCTAAAGGAAATTCCTGGCTTTTGCTAACACCTGGAATCAATCTCCTTGCAGTCACCTTGTTTAATAAGTTTCTGTCTTCTTCACAAAGTTCTATCCTGTGGAGCTTAGTTCCATCTTTGAGGGATAGAAATCGCTGCATCTTAGAGTGAAAAAGCAAGCCTTTACTCGTCGGAGATCGAACCGGCTTAGGCTTGAATTCAAAATCTCTTTGTTTTGCTAAGCTGGTCAACTGATGAAGCCATGCCACCAATTCAAGGATGTATGCATCTGTCTTCTGTTTATTTGCGTGGTAAAGTGTCTGAAGGCGGGTCAGGGTATTGTTTGTGGATCCACTTCTTCCAAATTCATTGCTGTCAGACAAGAACAACAAGGAAACCACATTGTTATGATGTAATACCAAAATAATTCGATGAACTTTTACATAGACCAGTATTGCATGCGACTATGTACAAAGAGAGATATAGAGAAGCTTTCACTAACCCAGTATTTGCCCATTCTCCAACCCATCCAAAACCTTGATGTGCTCTGTTGCAAATTGCATCAAAAGGAAAATAAAACTTTACTTACGAAATGACATCAAAGAGACAGAAGTTTTGAAACCATTGCAGTTTAACCTACTTGGTAGTGTTCATGGCAACTGGAACAAGCCACTGTAGTTTCTTTTCCATCTCATCCTTAACTTGTGAAACTGAGCGCTGCAGGAAAAAAACAAAAGCAATTGCCTCAAGTAAAAAATTATGCTTAAGAATAAAAGCAATGGATTAAGGAAATGAAAACCGAAGTCTATTAGAGAAAAACGTACCTCTTCTTTGGTGTCAATGGACTGTAATCGGGACTTTAGAGATTTCTTAACACTGGGCGGCAATCCACGGTATAATGTGTCCCTGATATTAGGTGGAAGGTAGGCCGGGCGAGCTACCTATAACATATAACTTTAATTTAATCAATCTGCTAGGCAAACATGGAAATGATAAAGCAGAAAAGAGGAAAAGAACATAGACTCACAATTTTGTCAATCTGATGAATTATATTAGCATAATGCAATGCAAGCCCGGCCACGCCTAGTTTTTGATTATTTCAGTAGTCTCTTTTGCAGCTGATGCTGAGTCTGCCATGAGTTGAAAATTGTATTGATAGGACATAGTCAAATGACACAAAATAAGGCTCCCTACAACAATAATTTGATAGGAGTTGAGGCTAATATGATTACCTCCAAAGGCTTCTGAGATTGCTTGATGCATATAAGTAACAATATCAACAAACTTCTCTACGATCTGCAATGTAACAAAATTTACAATCAAGAAGGGTTACATAATGGTTGATTATGGCAACAAAAACATATATTTCATGTACATAAGCCAAATTGAAAGCTGTTAATAATTTTTTTTCCATGAGCAAAATAGCTTCCAAAATATTTCAGGCCATTGAAAGCGTTGACAGTCTTAAAAATCAACCATTAGCATTCAGCAACATTGAAAAAGCAGTATAGAGTAGGGTGAAGGAGTAAAAGACTACTGCATTGAAATGCCAAAATCTTTATACAATTGATTGTTGTGAGCAAGCAGTTATAACAAGCAGCTCGCAGTTATATACCTCTTCCAAAGTTCTAGACCAAGAGATTTCTTTTTCAAACTCCTAACAAGCTTCTTTTGTTGTTTTAAATCACTTTGTAGAATCATGAGATTTTCTCCTGCAATTAAAAAGGACCAGTTAATAAAGTTGCTTTAGTCCAGGTTAGCAGCTCTCAAGCTTATATAAAATACACAAATAATAATTGGGAACAAGCAACTAGAAGTTGCCAATAAGAGAGATTCAACTACAGTAAGTTTCTTCCAGAGCTAAATTGAGTAAATGCTGAAAAATATAGCCACACCATATCGGAAGTGAGAAGTAAATGGAGCACTCTAGCAGTGTATAGGCCTATGTTCAAGAATCGTACATGCACCTTTTTTAGGGAGATTCAGGGACTCCAATTCCTCCAGCTTTTGCCTAACATTTTGATCAAATGTGTCCTGAGCATTCAATTCATGGTACAATTCCTAAGATGTAAAAAACCATCAAAATCAGAAACCAATAAAGAGTTATAAATAATTCACATAGACGAGCAAATATATTCTTGAAAATGAAATTCTCAAGGTTTAATTTAAGTGGCTATGCTTCATTGCAAAGAAAATTAAAGTTTCTTTCGTTTAGAATATATCATGGTATTCCACGCCATTCATACAACAAAAGCATCCAAAAGTCCTAACGTATGAAAAAGGAAAAACATAAGAGATAGAGAGGCAAAGAAAACAATTAAGGGAGGATAAACTTACAGAGGTATGCTGAGCAAGAGAAGTTAGCTCTTGTATCGTCCGGTCTGCATCAGCTCTATCTTGTTTATGAAGTGAAGTCTCTACATCTAGTCTGACAGAAATGCAGTAGAGAGAGAGGTATTTCTCCATCAGTAAACATCAGCATTATAAGCTGAATGTAATGCTACCTAGAGAACTACCTTACCTTGAAAAGTACCGGCCAAGGTTGTGCCATTGTGGATCTTTACATAAATCCCCGAACCTTATTACTTCGCGCGAAAAATTATCCAATTCCTCCCTAGAATTGCCAGAGAATTGAGTGTTATAAAAAGAGACTAAAGTAAGAGAACTATTATATAGAGAAAAGGCAAATCTACCTTTTGTCAGATGCTGCAATACATTGCAACTCCTTCATGTTTGTAGAAACTAGCTTGTGCACCCCTTCTGATTGTAAGACCTCCTTTTTCAGGAACTGAATGTTCTCTTCTGAAAGTGACTGCAATAAATTTGCTCCTTTAGCTATTGTGTTAGCCACTTCAAATGCCAATATGGATATCGTATGCCCCCTTGAAGCCAGACCGGTAACAAAGCCAGTACCGGCATTCAAATTAGACATGCTACTTCCAAATGTATCAAGAACGTCGACTGCCTTTTCCAGGCCTACAATGCCAGCTCTTCCTAGAAATGAATTCCTCTGGGAACCCTACAGAAAGAAAAATAAATAAACATTGTAATTCATGCCATTATTCTTTATGAAAACAAGCATATATAGAGATAAAAGTACAATATAAATAAAACTTTAATAGCTGGCAATTCAGTAGACCAATACCAGATCATCAGGAATATTTCTATTCCATGGATTGACATGAATTTGGTTACAGACCAAGATTTCTTTTATCTCTTTCGGTCAAAATTGACATCATTGCAGTCCATGAATTGCCGACCTTGGAAACTCATTACAACTAGAAATGATATGTGTCAAGCAAACAATACCTTGGAAGCAGAAATCCTGGAGGGCGTTGATGGTTTCAATTCCCTGGAAAATTGTAATCCCAAGTCACCAGAATCGTGCCTCTGTTGTACTTTGTCGAAACCACTGCCATTGGCATCGGAATGTGATTTGAATTCACTTTTTGCTTACCAAAGCTCCTTTTGGAC